AAGCCCCTTTCCCAATAAAAGTGCACCACTCTGACCTGTGACCTGTCTGTAGCACAAGTTAAATAAAGTTATTTCAATAAAGTTAGCTCGACCCTGTTAGCTGTTAGCTTTCGTTAGCCTCTCTGTTTGCCACCGAGTTCGCTCATCGTGTGCGCCACTCCAGCAGCTCGGGAAGATCAGGCCTACCGGCACGGAGACCAGAAGAGTGTCCCGGTAAAATCCGGACTCTGCCCCCGGAACCCCAGGTCTCGGTTACGCCCCGAGGTGGACTCGAACTCGGCATTGATGATAGAGCCGGGTCTGATCAATAACACCCCCCGCCTCCCTGACGTCTGTGCGACGTTCCCTCTCCCCGCTGTAAACGGTTAAATGAGCGGTAACTGAAACGATACCGCGCTGTCCGCCGCGACAGCGACCCGAACCATCGCCGGAAACGGTACTCACCATGTTTGCGATTCCGATGGCTCTGATTCACACCGGATTAAAAAATTCTGACCCACGGAGATCCCGCCAGGCCGCCTTTAACAGGAACTACAGGAAATGACGCACAGCCGACCGGAAACTGTGGCAACGCCGAAAAGATTCCCCCTGTGCGATGAACAAAAAGTTCCTGCGCGAAGACTCAAATTGTTAATCACGTTAATTAACGTTAACAAGTTCAAATAAAGTTTCACGTTCACCGCTCACGGATCGTTTGCATGTACGTGCTTTCTGACGTCATTAAAAGAAATCTTCTGCAGTCAGCGAAGCAGCTTCACTTTGATACTGAATCACCAAACAGCTGGCTGCTGGTCTGAGATCAGCTAAATGATTTTACTGCTGCAAATTTTGGTACCCGTCTGATACCAGGTGAACCCAGGGTCAGCACCGATGTAAGGAGAGCAGTGCGTCCTGATTTATGAGATCTAAGGCACTCAGCTCGGCTGCTGTAGTTTAAATGTGCTAAATGATGTAAATAAATCAGTGCCCACAGACATGTTTTATGTTCTTTTTTTCATTCAAACCTTTATTTAAACCTTTTTTTAATTTTATTGCTATGTCTGGTTTTATTACTATGTGCATATTAGTATTGTACAGTACTTTGGTCTACCAGGTGTGTTTTTAAAGTGCTATATAAATAAATAGATGATGATGATGATGATGATGATGATTTAAACCTCAGTACAATACAACATAGAATTAAACAGTATCATATTAATGGTGTTGTACTTACAAAAACATTGTATACCATAGACAAACAAATAAAAGAACAATTTTCAGAACCTACAATATAAATGTGTTAGGGGGAAAGTAACTGATCAAGCAAAGAATAAAGTGATTGAAAGATCTTGATTTTTCACAAACACCAATAGTTTTTATAGCTTTTGGGTTAGTGGAGTTCTTAATTGAATTAAGATACTGTTCAAGTTCAAAGGAGAATACATAAAAAGAGGGATGTCTTCCTAAACATTTGGACTTATTTCCAAAACAGTACAAATCCTTTAAATATATTTTCTGAGATAAAAACACATAAATTCTTCCAAAAATCTTGTACAAGGTTACAAAACCAAAAAAGATGTGTAGTAGATTCCTTGGAAGTTTTACAAAAGCTACAGCTTGTATCAATGTCTAAATTGAATTTGCTTTGAAGATAATCTTTAGATGGCTAAATTCTGTGTATTAATTTATAAGAAACATCTTTAATTTTGTTGGTAATTAAAAACTGATCAGGGAGTCTCCAAACTTCGTTCCACATAAAACCATCTGACAGCCGGTTCCAGAAAAAAATGACATATGGTAGCGTGGTTATGCTACTCTGATATAAAGCTCTGATCGATTTATTGTTGTTTTTAGATTGCTTAGAAAAGCAAATCTTGCCAACAAAAGTTTGTATGAGATGCCAACGGCCCGTGGAATGAAGTGATATTAGGTTGATTCTTAAACAGCATACAAACCCCTGATGGTATTGATCCAAACACTTTTGTATAATCATCACGATTTATAGATAAATTAAACAAAGTTCTTCATAGGAGAAAAGCGTACCATTTGAATCAAATAATTGGTCGACTAAAACAATGTTATTCCTAAACCAACGATCTAAGAAGAGAGATCTTCTTTTAAATAGGACATCGTTGTTATTCCAGATATAATAACTGTGTGGACTAAAGTTATGCTTGTAAACAAGAGTCCATGCTAAAAACGCTTGACGATGAAAAGCAGAGATTTTTAAAGGGATTTTATCAATATCAAAATTACAGGTAAGGAAAAATTCAGTGCCACCTAACTTAGAAAACATGAACACAGGTATGATATCCAAATGGAAGAAGGATTAGTAATTCGATTCTTAAACCAATTTATTTTGAATGTGTTATTTAAATTGTTAAAATCTAACACATTAAGTCCTCCATTGACAGAGTTCATAAGAACTGTTTTTTTAATGTAGTGTGTCCTATTTTTCCAGATAAAGTTGAAAAGTAACTTATCAACCTCTTTGAGTTTATTATCAAGGTGCAACCTTCTGCTTTAGTTATTAATACTCTGCCTTTTAACGACAAATCTCTTAAGAGCCACTGATTAAATCTGTGTTTGAGTTTCTCTAGAATAGGATAGAAATTTTGAGTGATTCTCCTGATTGTTGGTTATTATGATACGTTATGGTATAATGTTTTAATCTCTGTAGAGAAGTAAGTGCCAAAACCATACTTATAGAGCTTGAAATATAAATTCATGCTCCACCGTATCGAAGGCCTTGTAGAAGTCTAAAAATAATATGAAACCATTGCAATTTATGAGGTCAGAATAATCCAGAATATCTCAAACCAATCTGATATTGTTAGTTATGTCTTTTGGGCATAAAGCCAGATTGTGTTTCATCAATAACAGAGTCAAGAACCATCTTAAGTCTGTTAGCTACAATTAGAGCAAATACTTTATAATCATTACTTCGTAAGCTAATTGGTCTCCAATTATCAATCATTAATAGGTCCTTATTAGGCTTCGGAATCAACGTGGCCAAACCTTCATTCATCGTAGTGGGAAGTTGTTGGTTTCCTACACTTTCTGCAAACACCTCAAGAAGAAAGGGAGACAACTCTTCAGAAAAAGTTATAATTCTGCAGTAAGACCATCCGTACCTGGAGATTTATTATTTTTTAATAAATCTCCAGGTACGGAGAGATTTATTAATTGCCCAATTGCATTTTTGACTTCTTCTAATGAAATGGGTTGATCACATAATATAGAATCTTCTTGGCTGATAGATTTAACATTCAGAGATTCTAAGAGATGATCTGAAGCTTCCTGAGAAAATGTAGAGCTATAAAGTTCCTTATAGAAATGAGTACAATGTTTAATCTGTAATCCTCTGTTATAACCCCATTTATCATTAATTTGCTAATATTGTTTATGCTTGAGTGTTTCTTTTCTAAACTGAAGAAATAATGGGAATTACGCTCACCTTCAAGCCATTTAGATCTTGATCTGATAAAGGCTCCTTTTGCTTTGTCTGAGTATAAACGATCTAATTTATCTTATAATTTAGCAAGGTTCAATTTATCCTCTTCAGTTAAAGTGTCAATTTGTTTATTAGATATGTTTTATGTTCCGTGCATACATGAACTTACAGGACAGAAACACAGTATGAGTCCTGTCCCGATAGCATGGACCTCATGCCTCACTGCTCTCCACCACATCAGCTGCCTTAAACATACTGGCCTGGTACTTACTGCAGCGGCTCTTATACTGCCTTTACAGATTAGATCTCTTCACCCTGGCCTTTGACACCTTGTGAAATGTTTCGTTTTGTTTTGTTTTAGTTTATTTATATTAGTTTTTATTAGTTGATTCTATGCTGTTTAAAAAAAGGCTTTTTAATTTTAATTGTATGTATTATGTTTGTTTTTTTCTGTTTTGTTTAATTCTATTGTTCTTAACTTATTTACTGTACAGCATTTTGGTCCTGTGCTGGGTACTTTATAAATAAAGTTCTATTGGATTGGTCTGTATTTACTTTTGATTGGGCAATCCTGAAGTTTCTGCTCTCTGATTGGTTTATTTTGGTGTTTAATATTTAAAATCACCGTGTGTCATCCGTCCAATCCACGCTGAGGCTGTGAAGGCTGAAATGTGTGACAGGTAAATGAACCTGCGATCAGATTATCGATCAGTAGATCGATCCTGTTCGTCTCGTCCAGAGTTTCCCGTCATTCCGCTGCTGAACGGTTTCCATGGTAACCGTGACCGCGCCGCCGGACGCGCGCCGCCGCGATACGGAGGCGAGACGGTGAGTCACCGACAGAAAACAGCTCCGGTAACCGACGGAGCGACAGCAGCAACCGACACACCGAGACGGGTTAGCACGTTAGCATGTTAGCATCCCGCTGCCGCGTGAGCCGGAGGCGCGAAACGGCTACGGACTGTCAATGAGGCTGATGACGGCAACTACCGCAGTGACATCACAGCAACAGACAGCAGCAACAGCATCGCCTACTGCAGGGCAGCGGCAACATCGCCCTACAGTCTGACTGCAGAGCAACTACACGAGAGCAACCGGAGACAGCAGCAACAAACTGACGGCAACTGTGCAGAATTAAACACGTCCTGATTTGTTTCTGCAGCAAACAGCAACTGATCCTACGCCAACATGTTGCTTAAGCCTTCTGCCTTCAGCAGGGACTGCAGCAACTAAAACCTACAACATCTGCAGCAGCAGCAACTCCAGCAACCTGGAGTTTATCCAGTTGACATGTGAGCATCAACACGTTGCTTCAGCTTGGGAGACAGAGAGCAACTTCATGAAGAGCAACCAGTGACAGAGCTACGATTTCACTCACAGCAACGCAACCTACCACTACAGCAACTGCCAACAGCAGGTGAGCAACATGCCAGTGTGTGTGTGTGGGGGGGGGGGGGGATTTTTAAAGCTGCAGCTGGTGCCTACCTGTAGTCATGGTAACAGGTAGCATGTACCTGTAGTAGGTGTAGCTCATCCTTAAACATCCATCAGAAGATCAAAGAGAACCAATAAACCTCAGGATTAAAAGACGGCTTAAACTATAGGTGAGTCACATGGTTTAATCTCAGTCATCAGGTGGTGACATCATCTGGCCATCCAGGTGAGGGAAGGATTAAAAAAACCTTACCTGTCTGTGAGGAGGCGGGGCTTGAGCAGAACACTTCACCTGCTGTGAATACTGCTTTGTTATTGGTGCAAACAAACACACCTGAGCAGCGTTCAGCGCAGATAGAAACAACAGAAGCTCCGGTCCAGCTTTTATTCTGTTCATACTTTATTTTTTCACTTTGATCGGTAAATAACTGATCAATAACTGATCAATAACTGATCAATGAGAGGGACAGTCCTCGTGCTCTTATTTTAAAAGTAAACGGTTGTTTCTCTCCAGGAGGACGTCTGCTTCTGACTGGACGGATGGACGTCCTTTCAGACTGTCTCGCTGATCAGCTGACCTGGACTCAGGTGTGTTTCTACCTGCAGACGAGGAACGCAGAACTGTAGCTCGGTCATAGTTACAGTACTCGACTTGTTTAGTAATCTCTTTCATTGTTTGTCTCACAGTCAGGTAACAGCCTCAGTTAAGCCCCACCCAGCACCCACCTCCCCCTCACGTCAGGTGAAGACAACAGTCAGCGAGATGAGCCTGTTGAAGGAGGTGGAGCCAGGACAGGAAATGGAGGGAAAGGTGAGTCTACCCATCATGCATCCCTGCGGTGTCGCAGAGAGAGAGAAAAGATTTATTTAGTGAAAACATTTCGAGTTTGGAGAGATCGAACAAAGACCGCGATGTGTGCGGGGGGACTTACCTGTGGCTGTGCTGCATTCAGGTGCAGACCTGGGCTCAGTCTCTAGTGTACACGCTGGAGGAACTCGAGTGTAAGATCTGCTATAACCGCTACGACACGCGCAGCCGGAAGCCCAAACTGCTGGGCTGTCTGCACCGAGTCTGCGCCAAGTGTCTGAAGAAGATGGTCGACATGGGTGAGTTCACCTGGCAGGTAGACACGGTCACAGCACGGTCAGCTGCTGGATCACGCAGATGCCAGCATGACCGTTACCTGGTCACATCACCTGTTGTATCATGTGATTCCAGGAGAGTCTTCGCCGTCCATAATCAGCTGCCCATTCTGCCGCCACGAGACGTACGTCCCCGACGAAGAGGTGTGGCCTCATTTCCTCCTCTTCGACGGACAGAGTCTGACAACCTGAACTCACACCGTCTCCTCCCCCTCTTCCTCAGGTGTGGCTGATGGAGGACGACCGGCACATCCTGGCGGTCCTGTCGTGTCAGGATCGTGCTCGGCGAGGAGGTGGAGCAGGAAGTGGCAGCGGTGGGGAGGTAGTGCTAAGTCCCAGCAGTCTGACAGGTAAAAACCTGAGAGTTAGAACGAGATAGTCAGCCAATCACAGCCAGCCGGTAGATTTATCCAATCAGGAATCTCCGCGATGAAGTGACCTGTTTGAGGTGATTGAGCGGTATTCTTCGCCGTCATTGGTCAGCGGTATCCTTTATTGGACACCTTAGATATTGATTACTGGTTGGTGTATCCATAGTTTTCACATGACGTCAGCGCTCGGGAGACACGCCCACCTGGAGGGTAAAAACAGTACTTTGCTCTCCAGCCTTCCTTAAAAAGGAAAATAACATAGTGTCTGGAATTTCTCTTGGTAAAGCTCTGCGTCTGTTCCCAGGGGGCGGAGCTGCAGGCAGCGGCGAGGACGCATCCCACCGCTCCTCGGACTGTCTCGTCATCACCATCATGGAGCTCCCAGAGGAGTCGCCGTCCTCAGATTCACTGAGCATGCTCAATGTAGTGGGTCTGTACCACGCTCCCAGTCTGGACTCGCTGCCCTGCAACCTCCCAGGTCAGAAATGCCGTGCCTGGACATCCCGCAGCTTCCCACGCTGCCTGCTGGGGGCACTCTGCCTGGTAAGTACCAGTTTAACCAGTTTGAACATAACTATCTAAATCAGAACCAGTGTAACCGGTGTGTGCGGCTACCCCCCCTGTGTGCAGGTGTACTTTAGCTCGCTGCCGTTGGGGATCTACCTGCTGATGATTGGTCAGCTATGGCTGGGCGTGGTCCTCGTCAGTCTCGTCCCGTCCACGCTGCTGCTGCTCGTCCTTTACGGCTTCTGTCAGTGTCTCTGCCACGAGCTAATGGAGGCGCTTGCTGCCCGCACGCACTCGCTACCGTGACAACAAAATGTAGCCATAGAAAAGCCTGTAGACTGAGCCATCACACTCTGACATCACTCTGACCCTGCCCTTTGTGAATACCAGCAAGTCCCCCTCACACATCCCCTTGGTGGAAATACGGCCAATCAGTGTTGAACTACGTGATGACATCATCACATACAGGAAGTGGAGACAGTCCTCTCCAGTCAGAAGACATCTGCTGACTAATCAGAGACATGTTACTGTCCTGGGCACCGATCATAAAACTGTTTTACCTGCTGATTACAGAACACACCTGTACCTGTATCATCTGTTTATCCCACAGTCACATGACCTGACAGGCTGTTAGCCTAGCTTAGCACTTACACTAGTCACAGAGGGAAAGCTAGCCTAGCTTAGCATGTGTATTTAGCTTTGAAGCTGTGCTTATTCTAAGCTATGCTAACAGTCCCGATGTCCTGTCTGTAAAATGATTCATGAACCCTGTGATGATGATGAGTGTCACTTCCTGTCCGTGTAGTGGGCGGAGCCTTTGGAGAATCAGCTGTTTAGTTTTGTGATGAAATAAATAAACATAAGTGACATGAAGTGTTTGAATCATTTCCTGCTGCGAGTTCCTCTCAGGTGAAAGGTTGTCACATGAGTGACACCTGTGGGACCTGTGGGTGGAGTCCCAGGAGCATTTGGGCATCAGCTGGTCGCTGCATGTTAATTAAAAACACGCTATCCTCAGAGAGAAGAGCAAGAGTGTTTATAGAAACCTGGCAAGAGCTGCTCTCCACCACAGAGGAAGAAGCTGCAGCAGGTACAACTTCTTTCACACAGGTGTTCTATAAAGGCACATCCACAGGTGGGTCATACAGGTGATTTTACTTGTCTAAGCATCACCCAGATTTAGATAGTTTTAGATGTTTGAACAGCACCTGTCCTACCTCTCTCCTCCCTCCAGGTCGACATCATGAGTCGTTGGCGTCGTTCAGTGGACGAGCTGGCGGCACGGCGGCGACAGCATGAATGTGAGCGCGCTCAGGATGCACTCAGTCGGGTCACTTCATGTTTCCAGCAGCTGGTTGCGTTGGTCGGTAGCTCAGCCGACGGCAGCTTCCTGCGAGATGAGTTGGATGAGACGAGAGCTGTGGCTCACCGGATCTGCAGTGGTAACACCTGTCTGTGGTTCACCTGTCCTTCTCACCTGTGTTTCTCGCTGTCTCACGTGTTCACCTGACTCCATTGCTCCATCTCCCTTATGTGTCTTCAGGGCTGTCCTGCCGGCTGCTGTGCTTGCTTTCAAACTCCGACTTTGCCCCCTCAGGTGTGCAGGACAGGCAGGTTTTGGAGCGTCTGTGGGTTCTCTTCCTGTCAGCATTGGAGCACTTCCTGTATGACCTGCGTAAGGCCTGTGACCTAATTGGGCAGTTCCCCCTGACTGAGCACAGCAACAGGCGCTCGCTGGTCAACACAGGTCAGCTGACTTTAGTTCTGATGTGAGATTGGCTAACTTTGTGTAAAAGATGTCCGTCGTGGCCGAGTCTTGAACCAGTAAATCAGCTGCAAGTGTTTTTGGTTGAATGTCTAAATCGAGGAGTACTCTACTGATATAAGGTTTAAGTTGTTCAGTCCAATGAACAGCTTGAAATGGTACAAAGGTAAGCGGTGAACTGCCAGAGGTTAAAAAAGGTAAGGTTAGCTGAAACTGAAAAAATAATGCACATTTCAGAATTATACATAAAGGCCTTTTCCAAGGAAACACACAACGTGTTAAAGGTTTAAAGCTGTTCTGCAGCAATGGCGGTTGGTCAAGCCTTGAAAGCCGGTGCTACCAATTCCTACAGCTGTTCCAACTTTCCTGGATTACTTCCCTCTGCATGAAAGCAGTGTTGGAACACACTGATGTACCCTCGTGAGCGTCAGCTGAACAGTTTTGTGTTGGTACAAAAACGGGGAGAAAAAGGCGATTAACAATGGAAGAGAGACAGACCATCACAACACTTATAAATGTTTGTCTTTCCAAAGTGTGACAGGAAGAGGTCTGCAGACCCAAAGACTGAACCAGAGGACAAGTTTCTGAGTGAAAGACAGATTTTGTGTTATAAGCCGACGCAGTGACTTGCAGTGTTGAACCATGACAAGCGTTAGTTTTGATTGTCCAGGAACAACACCAGCACGGGGACATCAGATTGTGCTCTTATCGTTACTGACCCGTTATCGACCTCTCACTGATCTACTTTATGTCTGCGAGGTCATAAACTCCAGGACCTCAGTCACCAAGAAGCTGAACTTACCTGTGAGTGTTTTCTCATCCACCTGACCATCTGTTCCTCACCTGTCCTTCTGAATTTATAGGATGTGTTGATGGCGTGGTGGGCGTGGCAGCTCGGGTGGCCTCAGTCCAGTTGCCATGGCTCACCTCGGAGGTGGAACCAAGCCCAGATCTGACCAATCACATCACAGGACTGGAAACTATGATGAGCGAGATGCAACAGAGGGTGAGGGGAAGCATATGGAACACTTCCTGTTGGACTTCCTGTTGGACTGTGAGGTTTAACTGTTGCAGAGGCACCCACGTGTTCGGTCACCTGTCTGCTCTTTAGTTTGCTTTATAAACGGCTGAATTCTGTGCCGCTGCTTTGTTTTTTGTTCTGAGTGTCTCACCGTTGCTCTGCAGGTTCCCGTGGCGTTCTGGTCGGTGGAGGCGACCCAGCCGGCGTGGGCTGAAGCCCGCGGTGAGCCAGATGACCTGGTGGAGAGCCTGGAGGACCTGATGGAGGTTGAGGTCATTGCCGGTTCCAAGAAGACGGCATGCTGTGGGCTGGGCTGCGTCGGGTAGATTTAAGTGTTTCCATTAAAACGGGAGAATCGTGTTTTAGAGGAAACAGAAGAAAACCTGGGTTCATTTGTCATTGTGATGTTTAAACAATCAATATTAAATACGTCTAAATAAAGCTGGCAGATCAATATTTGCAGTGATTAATGATTAACATGTCACTGGATGGTTGAACGTTCCTTTAGTAGGAGGTGACAGAGGTACATACTGAGATAAAATACACAATGCATGGATTCACCTGCAGCATAACTGAGGGAGGATTCAGG